TCGACCAGTGTTATCACTCAAAATATCAGATAGTAAGAAAAAGTGCTCCCAAATTCTCTTTCATGTAGAGAAACTTGCAATTTTCTGTACGAACGCAAATTTGCAAGCTTTTCTGCCAGCTAGTGTCCACGGTTGAATTTCAAACCAAAGAAATTTGTATAGATTTTTAAAAATTTTTTCAGAGGGGCAAAAAACAGGATCTATGTACGTGTATATATCTTGTCAGTCCGACTTTCTTGAACATACGTTTCAATTTCTTTGTCGGGTTTACTATATCGACTCTGGTTGAGATTGCATTCCTATTAAGAATACAGTTTTTTTGCCGAGTACCTTTCAAATCATTGGAATTAACTAAATTAATTAAGTAAACAAGTATTAACTTACATTTTTCATTTTAAAATCGCTCCTGTTTGTAAATTTTGAAATTAAACGAACTTGTTTATTCAAATTATCGTCGACAAAAAATACAACCATGTGCCACAATCATATGTTTTTCCTAATTGCAAACTCTTGCTGGCAAAATTTTTTCCGGCTCGAATTTGTAACTTTTCTCTAAGAAATAGTATTTTTACTCGTGATTTATTTAAATAAAACATGTGAAATTTAGTTGAAACATTTAGCCGTTTTTAGCCGGTTTTATTTTCAAATTTAGCCGGTTCGACCAAAAAGTTGTGACAACACTGTTTGAATGTATACGGAGACTGCATTACCGACGACAAGATGGATGTCCATGCTAGTTTTGAATTGTCTTTGTGTTCTACGCTCTCTGAGCAAACAACTACGCAAACGAAGCAGCAAACAACTTCATCCGTGATAGCCGAATGGTGAGAGCTGCGTACTACAAGCCTGCAGGTCCCAGGCTCGATCCTCGGTTGAACCGATTGCCAAAAAAATTTAGTTTTTATTGTTACATAATTTTTTTTTTATTTGATTAATATATTTAATTTTACTTTACTTAATTTTCGTTCGATTTTTGTTATTTCCCATTTTTTATTTTATTATTAGTTAACTAAAATTTTTAGAGTTTAATTTTACCAAAAAAGTCAATGGCAACTAACTAAAACCAACTTTAAAAAAATATAGAAGTTATAACTGAATGACTAAAAATAAATAAATAATATTTTACTGGCCATGGGATTCGAACCTTCGACCTCGAGGCTCGTAAATCCACATTACTGCCGTCTGTCAAGGCACAATTTTGATCAGATCAACTGCGCTGTTAATCCGGATCAACGTTGCCGTCTGTCTGTGCTTTTATCGACGTTACCGACACCGTGCTATATGCATAGCGCGGCCTAGCGTGACGTGGTGTGGCGCACCGGTCGCGCGGGGTACGCCGGCCGCCACGAAGCTAAGCAAATTTAATGTTTGAAAGAGCAATAATATCAATGGATTTTATTTCGCTTTAGAAAAGCTAATAAGTCAATTGACCTTATTTCCGTTGATCTTTCTACCTGTCACCGATTGCTCTTTGTTCAATAAACATACCTCCAAGTCAAAATTAAACATACCTAGCAGGGTTGCATTGAGAATCTGACACAAGTTAATTGCCAATTAATTATTAGTATGATAAATTGGGTAGCATTTAAGGCTTAAATTGGTGAAAAGGTTCTTGATTGCCAATTAGGCGCCTGTTTGAACATAGTCCTAATATAGTTGACGGCGAAGGAGGACGCGTAAATTTATTTTCGCGGTCAAATATTTTTGGGGGTGTAACAGTATGTAAATTTCCCAAAAATATTTGCGGAATGATGCCGAAGTGACAGTCCTTGGCCAAGTATAAATCTATGATTACGCGTCTTTCTTCGCCGAAGTTTTACTTAAGCGCCTTTTTTCGTGAAATTTTTTACACGTTGTTGTTGTTGTAACAGCATACAGTTGCTGGAGTGACAGTCCTTGGCCAGATATAAATCTGGGTCGTTCCGGTTACGTAGACCCGACTGTCGTGGGAACGATTTTTTACACGTCTTTTTTCGCCGTCGAAACTCTAGCGCGCCTTTATTTGTGTATAGTGACGTTATACATATTTAACTGTAAAGCCCTGTATGCAGCTCTCAAGAAAACGGTCAAGAAAAAATTGCCATTATTTCGCGTGTGTGTCCAAGAAATTTTGACATTTTTGATACCTCACAGCCTGTTGCCTCACTCTTTCCGCAAGAAATAATGGAACGGGCATATATTTCTGTTCCAAACCTGGGTTGCCTTGTGCTCTTTTTTATATTATATTTTTATTATTATAAAATAAAAAGCTTATTTTTACTTTCTTAAGAAATTTACTACGCTTTCTGCTACGGTTTTCTAAAGTTTTTTGTGAAAAAAGAGCACAAGGCAACCCAGGTTTGCAACAGAAATATATGCCCGTTCCATTATTTCTTGAGGAAAGAGTGAGGCAACAGGCTGTGAGGTATCAAAAATGTCAAAATTTCTTGGACACACACGCGAAATAATGGCAATTTTTTCTTGACCGTTTTCTTGAGAGCTGCATACAGGGCTTTAGTATCCAGCTCTTAAGAAAATGCACAAGAAAATTTTCGTGTTCTTTCTTCTGCTTGAAATAGTAGTAGGCCAGTAATTTTGACGTTTGATAATGCACCGTGAATAGTAAACAATGGCAGAAGAAGAGCGGTAAAAAGTAAACAAAAGAAACAATCTTTTGCCTATGACCAATTTGTAAGTTTATAACAATATTTTTATTTAAATTTATTAAAGTACATTTTAATTTATTTTGATTCAATTTCAGGAGATAGTTTTCACTGATATCGGAACATCACTATATCTACCGAAGAAATCTATTTGTCGGACAGTCGACTTTTAAAAGCATTAAAATTGTACCATTTTTTATATCGAAATATTTTCGACATCCCTATTTTCAAATTGTTCTGCCTTACCAATATATAATCACACATTCTACAAAACTATTTTTTACCGACTAACAGCCCTATTCCGGTTTTGCAACAGAATGACAATTGATCATCCTTCATTGTCGTGATTTTGTCATTGTCGTTGCACGTTGCTATTCCTAACAAAGAATGACAAGCGAAAAGCTTTTGTCAACTTACCATGCATGTTGAAAAGTTCATTGTTGTAGAAACAGCTGGTCAACGCTATTATTTGCAAAAAATATGAGCGGTGAAACACCAGAAAAGTGAGTATTTGTGTGAAATAGATAAATTCGTAAAATTAGACGTGCAAAATATAAGCGGACGACGTAGGAGCAGCTCCAATTTTATGTGCAGTTTTGTAGGGAGCATCCGGAGCTGCTCGTCTTCCACAAGCACGGCTGCGCAAACAACTAAAATTTCTTCTGCCATTGAAATTAGTTGATTTTTATATTTTTTTCACAAATTTATTAAATTGTCGCACTTTTTAAACCAACACTAACATATGTTTTTGCCTTGTCACCTGCCCAAAAGGTCATGACAATAAAAATGACAATTGGCATGATTCGAGCTTTTGAATTTTGCTGCGAATACCAAAAAGCTGCAATTGTCATTTTTAGATCAATTGTCATCGCGGTGAGTTTTGTCAGTGTGGCGGAATAGGGCTGTAAGACTTGAATTATCAATACGGCAGTGGTGAAAAGTTCAGATAGATTTATCAAATAGGTATATGCCGTGCCTGTTTGTCGCCGGAAGATCGGGTGCATCTGCTAGATTGGCATCAGCCTGTTGACTCTTTGGATATATCATACAAAGAGTGTTTTTGTAAATGTACACAAATTAATTTAAGTTTGAAAGATGATCTAAATGAACTCGATGATGCCCGGACGCAATATCTATGCCTTGATTGTGCCCAAAAACTTAAAGACGTTTATGATTTTATTGAAAAGGCGAGAAGGGCTGATAATGAATTACGTTGCACACAAACGGAAAAAGTGAAGATAGAAAGTATAGCCAACACTTTTGAATGGGTTCCAGTACATGAAGAGCTAATGGAAGTAACTAAGATGCCAAATACTGTAGATATGGTATATCAAATACGATTTAGATATAATTAAATAATAATTATTTTCTATTTGTTTACAAGGATCACGTAGAGGATATAAAAGTATCACCAGAATGGACTGAACATTTTATGGATGATGATGAAAAATCTGCATCAAATGATAGGTTTGGGGGTCGAGCAAAAAATTTGTACGAATTTGTACGAATTATCACGATTTTTGCCCAAATCGCGTTCGTGCAGACCAAAAAATTATCCAACACTCAAAAATTGTGAGAGCAAAGTGACAGTTCTCTTGGAGAGAAGTTGCAAATTCTTGCTGGAAAAAATTTTGCCAGCAAGAATTTGCAAACACGAAAAACATGTGGTTGTGGCGCATGGTTGCATTTTTGTCCACAATAATTTGAATAAATTAGTTCGTTAAATTTAAAAATTTATAAACACGAGCGATTTTTTTATGAAAAAAGGAAGTAAATAATTGTTGATATAATTAATTTAGTTAATTCCAATGATTTGAACTTAATTCGGCTGAAAAAAATGGTATTCGCAATCGGAATGCAATTGCAACCAGAGTCGATTTAAGAAACCCGACAGCTAGTACGATGAAGAAATTGAAATGTATGTTAAAGAAAGTCAGAACAACAAGAAATATACATGTATATCTTGTTTTTGGCCATCCGAAAGAATTTTAAAAATTCTATAAAACTTTTTTATGTTTGAAATGCAACCGTGGACGCCAGCTGGCAGCGAAACTTGCAAATTCCTGCAAATTTGCGTTCGTGCAGAAATTTGCAAGTTTCTCAACATGAGAGAGAATTTGAGAGAATTTTTTCTTACTCTCTGATATTTTGAGTGTTGGATAATTCTTGCTGGATTTTCGACGAACAAACCTGATATCGAACACGAAATAAATATTGATAAAAAACTTAGTACTGACACTACAACAACAACAAAGTTTCTAGTTGAATCGGATAAGGATATGCAGAGCGGCAATAACTTAAATGAAGCTGGGCTGGTCTTATCGAAAAAAAGTAAACAACTCAATCTTGCTCATACAAGACCTAATAACGTAAAGAAAACAAACAAAGTAAAATCCGAGGTGAAAACAAAAAAGAAAGTCAAGGACATGTCTGAGCCGGTGAAGTGTGAAGAATGTGGGAAAATAATGAAGAGAAGCTCATTAAAAAAACATAAGCAACGTCATAAACCAAAAACTTTTCTTTGTCAGGCCTGCCGTAAGTATTTCCGTTCCTTTTAACTTGTGGACTAATTTCTATCTTTGTTGAATTTACCTTCGCCAGCAAAAACATTTAAGGAGTCATGTGCCCTAAAAAATCATGAGCTCTGTCACAATGAGAATCGGGAAAGATTTCCGAATAAACAGAAAAAGAAGAAACAGAAAATATGTTTTTTTTTGTGGGTTTGCAAAGTTTATTTGACTGTATTGCCATCGCAAAGTGTGCTGAAGATGATTAAAAGCTTTACTAAACTGTATTTTAGGCACTTATCATGTTTCCGCATGCTAAGGCATACTGGTAGGTATAAGAAGAGGGCCTCTTCCAACCCTTCATATTTGAAGGTTTAAGTTTCAAGATCATGATTTGGAGATCAAGAATTGTAGCACAAGTGCCCACTGATTCAGCGATAGCGAAAAAGGGTTGCTTTAACTTCAAGTGATTTGTCCTTGAAAAAAGAATTTGGCAGCGCCACGAGATTAAACAGTAGGTTAAAGTTTTTCTCCAAGCCGTGGCGTTGCAATCACACTGATGCTTATACAACGTTGAAAACGACAGGCCACGGGCCACAGCAGCCAATTTGTTATATTTTTTTGGCGTAGAATACGTCTTACCTTACGATATGGAGGCTATGCTGAAATGTTGTAGTTGTAATTTTTAGAGCTTCACGAAAACGCTTATTGCACGAGAACTAATGAAGCGATTTCAAAGAAAAGTGTGGCGTTTCAAAGATAAAATTCCCAGCCTATCGACATATTCATTTTTTTAAGTAACCAATTCGGTTTCCGTCGTAAAACCCACGGTAAACATTGCCTTATTTTGGGGTCAATTTTGCGCCGTTAAAGTGCTCTAGCAACTTCCCTGTGGGGAAAATGTCTAGTTTTGAACTGGTGCGCTTCTAGTACATTTAGAACCACTACTAGTTCGCGATAAATCTCTTTTGCATGCAAACAACTGGCGAATTTAACACGGCGATGTCATAGGAATTGGAAATTGTCCCCCGCTGCCTTACCTTTTCTATAGTTCCGAACCAGCCCTAAATTCTAGTTCGCTTTGCACCCCATTTTCTATAGTTCAGAACCAGTTGTAAACGAGAAAAGTAACAAGATGTTTTCTTTTTGGGTTACCATGGTAGCAATTTTTAATTATTTGCAGAGAAATGTATTTTCAATCTGAAATCAAATTTGTTTGAATGAATGTAAATTAAATGTTGCTNAAGTAAACAAAAGAAACAATCTTTTGCCTATGACCAATTTGTAAGTTTATAACAATATTTTTATTTAAATTTATTAAAGTACATTTTAATTTATTTTGATTCAATTTCAGGAGATAGTTTTCACTGATATCGGAACATCACTATATCTACCGAAGAAATCTATTTGTCGGACAGTCGACTTTTAAAAGCATTAAAATTGTANAGTACCACATATCGCTGCTTTTGAACTGGTGGCGATCTAGTTACTATCGGACTGGTTCGTTTTTGCCGATAAAGATCTAGTACGGAACTACAAATTTGGTTCACCAGTTCGGGGTTTCCCTACAGGGTTATGATTGGCAGATATAACTGNTACCGACTAAGACTTGAATTATCAATACGGCAGTGGTGAAAAGTTCAGATAGATTTATCAAATAGGTATATGCCGTGCCTGTTTGTCGCCGGAAGATCGGGTGCATCTGCTAGATTGGCATCAGCCTGTTGACTCTTTGGATATATCATACAAAGAGTGTTTTTGTAAATGTACACAAATTAATTTAAGTTTGAAAGATGATCTAAATGAACTCGATGATGCCCGGACNTCATTTTCGGGATATAGGTTCTTTGGAGCAGTGGAAATATTATCGTGTACGAATTTCATATAAATTCAACAAACATTGAGCATTTTAAAGCAAAAAATTTTNTTTAAGTTTGAAAGATGATCCAAATGAACTCGATGATGCCCGGATGCAATATCTATGCCTTGATTGTGCCCAAAAACTTAAAGACGTTTATGATTTTATTGAAAAGGCGAGAAGGGCTGATAATGAATTACGTTGCACACAAACGGAAAAAGTGAAGATAGAAAGTATAGCCAACACTTTTGAATGGGTTCCAGTACATGAAGAGCTAATGGAAGTAACTAAGATGCCAAATACTGTAGATATGGTATATCAAATACGATTTAGATATAATTAAATNTTAAAAAAATGTGCAAATTTTTTTCATTACCAAAATGCTCGAAAACCGCTACNTCTATGCCTTGATTGTGCCCAAAAACTTAAAGACGTTTATGATTTTATTGAAAAGGCGAGAAGGGCTGATAATGAATTACGTTGCACACAAACGGAAAAAGTGAAGATAGAAAGTATAGCCAACACTTTTGAATGGGTTCCAGTACATGAAGAGCTAATGGAAGTAACTAAGATGCCAAATACTGTAGATATGGTATATCAAATACGATTTAGATATAATTAAATAATAATTATTTTCTATTTGTTTACAAGGATCACGTAGAGGATATAAAAGTATCACCAGAATGGACTGAACATTTTATGGATGATGATGAAACATCTGCATCAAATGATAGGTTTGGGGGTCGAGCAAAAAATTTGTACGAATTTGTACGAATTATCACGATTTTTGCCCAAATCGCGTTCGTGCAGACCAAAAAATTATCCAACACTCAAAAANCAATGATTTTGTTTTTGTTTTCTTTAGTCAAAAATTCAATAGTTTTCCTTTCGTTTGGTATATGGTAAGTATTGGTTGATATCGATTAAAAATCCCCTAGACATTTTTTTTCAATTAAACATTAGAAAATCTATACACATATATAAAAATGGTGTGAAAAATGTATAGTAANGCCACTCCCAGGTGAATGGCAGTCAAAAGTTTTCCACTTCTGCGCACGGAACCATCCTCCATTTATATATATATATAAAAATGGTGTGAAAAATGTATAGTAATTCATCAATTGAGAACGGTTGGGCCGATTTGGCAAACATTTTTCTTTAGTTGTTCGTAATTGCCAGGAGAAGGTTCTTACGGAAGAAAATTTTGGGAAAACCCTCCAGGAAAATTGTGAAATTGGAACAATGGAATTTTGTGTGCAATTCCTTCGGAATGGCTTTCAAATGGAAAAATATAAAATTCTAAGTGGAAAACTCGAAAAAATCCGGAAGAACGCGAAAAATTTGAATTTTTTCGACGAAATTTTGCATTTTATCCCATGATTTGAAGATTTAGACGATGTAAAGGTGGAAAATTCGTTGTGAAGCTTAGAAAATTTCGGATAATTGTGAAATTTATTGTGAGCATGAATCAATTGGGAACAATTTTCTCCTATGTTTCATAACCGATTCGAATGGCTGCTGCGTTTTTGGAAAGGTGTTTAGACGCTGATAAACTGCATTTAGTACGTAGGTAGCTTTTGCCTAAATTAGCATATGGGCATTCCCATGGTGGCGCACGTGACAGTCGTACGATTTCAATGTGATACAAAAAAGGAAT